AGTACAACAGAAATATAGTATGTTGCATATTACTCTTAAAATAAGCTTTAAGGATGAGTCCTTTATGGGAAATTTGAATATAGCTGAATTATTTCTGTATACTTTTCCCAAGAAAAAAAAGTTTCACATGCAAAACTGTAAATAACTCCTAAAGGGAAAATTACGAGAGAGAGAGAAAGAGACAGAGAGAGAGAGAGAGAGAGAAAGAGAGAGAGAGAGAAAGGGAGAGTAAAGAAAAAAAAAACAAGTGGGATTAGAACAGGAAGGCAACTTTTTGTAATAAAATAAAGCAATATAAGAAAGAGGAAACCTGGCCCTTAGGGATCAGTTTCTAACTCTACCTCTTAATATCCACCCCTGTGACCCTGGCCAAGTCACCTCTTCTCTCTAAGCTCCAGTTTCACTGTGTGTTAAGTAGAGATAATAACTCAAAAGCGTTCCTGTGGGCAATCAATTAGATTCCACATATGTATATTCAATATACAAACATTTAAATTTATACATGTAGGGCCGGGGATTTAGCTCAGTGGTTCCGCCACCTGCCTTGCAGGCGCAAGGATCCGAGTTTGATCCCTGGTACCAGAAACACACACACAAACAAACAAAACTAAATTTATACATGTACATATACTCAGTACTTAGCATTACATCTAGTACACTGTAAGTAACAGTTACTGTTGTTGATAAAAATCATTAGACTTCTAACATGATGGGTGACATTCAAGAAGAAAAAGGAGGGCCAGGCATGTGTAAGCCAGTAAGATGACAGAGAGCTAAATCTATGTATTACTACTGCGAGACAACTGAAGAAATATATATTACAAAAAGCATTTTTCATATTAAATGTAAAAATTATGTGTCTCCAAGACTGCTGAGGGTTCTACAGAACACAGTCAAAATCTCCAAGTTATAAAACAACAGCGATGGCTACATTCATAACAGTAGAATAGCAATGGGAGAAATGTACTACAAAACGAAGTGCTTATCGATGTGTACAGAAGTTTCTCTGTCCAATTTTCAATCTTCTAAACTTTTGTAGACAGAATAAAAGCTAGGCTCTATTGCAAAGGCACAGCAACTCTGTATGCTAAAAATAGATGGTACCAGCAATCATGCACAGTCATTTCACCTGCTGCCATCTTGTTCTTTATTGGAAGCATTTGTCATCTATGGCCAATCTGAGGTGCTAAACATCATTAACTCCATCCCGTTCAGGAAATGCAAAAGAAGTAAAAGTATTCCAAAATTAGGAAAGGGGAATAAATTTCCCTACTGCATCAGATGTAGAGATGGCAAATAAATTTAATTTCTCACAATGAATGCTGCCTGTGCATACGGGATCAGAGAATTTTATTTTTATATGTGAAAACTGTACCTATGGAATCAGTACAAATCAGGGAAGGAAGGAAGGAAGGAAGGAAGGAAGGAAGGAAGGAAGGAAGGAAGGAAGGAAGGAAGGAAAGAAGGAACCTCCAGTATATATAGCCATCAATTTTGTTGGCCAAAGGTCCGAAGGCAAGGATCTTGTTCAAGAATTTAAAACCTAAGTATAGTACATGTACTACTACCACAAACCACAGACAACTGACAAGGCTTCAATGTGAATGGTCAGGTCACCACAGGACCTGTAACTATTAGCATCTTCCCTGTAACCTATACAGAGACCTTCTAAGAGGGACACTACTTGCCTCAGCGGATTTTCAATGTAGACAGAACTATTACATTGTGGGAAAAAGATGCCCCCAAAATTTCTATTCACAAAGAAGTAAATATGTCTGATTTCCCTGCGATGACTAATTCATGGTCCTTTTTACTAAGTACAATTTTTCAAACCCAAACCTATGCTTAAACCTGTAAAATTTTTATAACAAAGTGGACTTATAAACATCCCCATGAAATTATGGGCTGAAGATCTGGAAAATTTTGTCAGTCAGGATGGTAAATGGAAACAGTGTACCATCACTACTAATTTATATTAAAAATATTTTTGTTTTTTATTTGATTTGCCATCTTTGTCTTGGTGTAATATTATTACAGATAAAGCCTTAAATTTTGCCTTGGTTCTGCTACTTTTCCCATTAGGAAACAGGTTCAGGCCCATCAACCATAAATTATCCTACTACAGATATTTTAGGGAACATACCGTATTCAGGCTAAAGAACACTCAGATCCGCTGAGAGAGACTGGCATCTGGATGGAGCTCTCCTAAGCTACAAGTACTGGCAACCAAGGCATCAGCAAAGAAGCTAGAGAGCTTGGATCTCACAAGACAGGGAAAGTCAGCAATGACCCTACCGCAGTTCACCCCATGCTCCCTGTGATTACAAATGAACTGACTGTGATTTCAGTCTTTAGATAACCAATAAAACAAATATGAACTATTCCCGAAACTTCGTAAATAAAATCATCGGGCTCATTCTTTCAACAATCATTCACTGAGTGGTTCTACGGGAGGCACAGTGCACTTCTAAACACCTTTTACTTCACAATCCCAAAGAACTTTCAAAGCCGTCCCAACATAAAGTGGCAGTGACTAAATTCTCATTTTATACATGTAAATACTCTATTAAAAACCTTGTTTCAAATATTATAAGCACATGATAAGCATAGCTATTGTAGAAACAAAAACTGAAAGGGTTAGATTAATATTCAATCATTAACTAAATTCCAACTTCATAATTTAATCCAAAAGATACCAAGGCCAAGTGGCTTTTTAAAGTTATGACAAAATACACAATGATTCAAACATTCCATTAAGTGAAGGAGTTAATACAGTTACAATTTCTCATTACTGAATCTTTATAAATACCAACAGGTAGTAAAGTCAAAATTACCATAAGTCCCACTGAATGGTTACATTTTAATTGGCATCAAAAAACAAATATCAAAAATGGATTGAAATATCCACCATGATAAAAATGATTCATTTACCTAAGCTTTCATTATTTTGGAGTTCTTTCTAGAAAACTAATCCCACAATTTAGATGACAGAGAAATGCATTTTCCCAAATCAATTCTTTAAATCTACAGATCTAAGGAAGATCATCATGAATGGGAGAGTACATTATGAATGTACTCACTAAGGACAGTGAGTACAGCTACAAGCCAAAATGCCTGGCTGGATTGGATTCCGATTCTACCACTTGCTAACAGTCCTCCGTACCTCAGTTACTCCATCAGTAAAAACACCTAATCCATACAGTCGTGAGGATTAAACTCAGGTATGTAAGTAGTGTAAGAAAAGGTCTTAGCAGCAAGCAGCATTATACAGTATAAAGTGTTCCCTCACCATCATTATCGTATGACTAGATTCCCCAGATCATCTACACAAATGCCTTTTCCTACTCAAAGCCCTCCTTAATTGGTCTGGTAGGATTCAATCCATCCCTCCTTGGCTTCCTCATAAAACATACTTTATATTTTAGTTAGCTGAATGGACACAGTTCTCTCCCATCTCATGAGAGTACACCTCATCTGAGTACAAGACAGCAAACATGCCTCTTGTGGCCGTTCATGTCCCTCTAAGTTCCTGCACCATAGTAACCTGCCAATCAGCAAAACTTCACCTGGAAAAGGCTGATGTAACCAGGACACCACATACTGGTCAGCCCTTACTAAATATTCCCTTAAGATGTGAATTAAAATGTTGGAGGAGGAAGGAAGAAAAGAGGATTCACTTAACATTTTTTTAACTACTGACCAAAGATTGTTTTTAATTTAAAACTTTTTTCTGGTCTAAAGCTTGCTTTCATTATCTCATTCTGTTGTCAGTTTTTTTGTTTTGTTTTGTTTTGGTTTTGGTATAGGGGATCGAACTCAGGACCTTGCGCTTGTGAGGCAGTTGGGGCAGAACCACTGAGCTAAATCCCCGGCCCTCATTACCTCATTCTAAACACTCATGGGGCTTTTAACATAAAAGTACAGCAGCATACTTTCTACATATGTCAAGTCTAACAAAATCATAACTCTCCCATCTGCTGATTTTAATGTACTCCTTAAGATGCTAAATGACAATATGCTTGCTTAATTCACCCTACACTTATTTATGTAGAATAAAAACACTTCAACATTGCATTAAGATGCAAATCTTTCTGGCTTTGATTTTTGCCCTCTTATCCCTCTTTTAAAAAATGCCCCCCTAAAAGTCTTCAAATTCTTTCAGATCACAGGGAAATCACTTTCTAAGGTATTTCATCCAACTTCACAAACACATTGATGTTTCCCTTGCAGGAACAAAACTTTTCTGGAAACAAATGGCTGAATTGAGACTAATGCTTTGTTATTTTCTAGGAAGCATAATTTCTTCTTTGTTCTTACAGAGTTCTACCTTTTGAAATTAAATTTTCAGCATAAAAATCTCCTGAGAACACTTACTTATTTGCACAAATAATCTTTCTCTCTTCTTTGACTTAAACTCAAAAACAAAAGGCTAGAGAACTCATTTAATGTGGCTTTTCCCAGTCATTCCCCAGTGGCAAGCCCTTTCAAGAGAAAACAAATCATACACCCAACTTTCCCTTCTCATTCTACACACATCCCAACCAAATGGGAAACATTATCAGCCATCTTATCACGCTAAGTGAGGTCAAACCAAATAAATCTTTTTAGCCAATGTATCTCTTTTGAGATTGGGATTTTTCAGTTAAAAGTGCTTTGATGAACCTGTACAATAAAGGGATATCATAATTTAACTTCATCTTTTGGACTAATTTATTTCTTCCCAGTCACAAGAACGGTTAGTTTACAGACAATACATAGTCACAAGAGAGAGAATATAATAAACTTAATTGTTTTATATATCCTGAGGCATAGAGAATGCCAGAAAAATTCGAAAAGGCTTCTAGTACTCACACATATAAGACTGAAACAAAGAACTTTCAAAAATCTGTACTAGATAAACAAACTAGGCTTATGAACAACAGACTCTGCTTTCAAGCAGGAAGACCTGTCAACTTCAAGCCCCACGCCAAAGAGACAAAGTCTCGCTCCTCAATCCCCACCTGAGAAACAAGAAGCACAATTTAAAATCAACTGAAGATGTGTCCTCAGATTTCTGCAGTCGTAAAGCTACTGCCCAGATCAGCCCCAAGGAGGAGGCTTACGTCCACTCGCCCCAGCTCCGGCGCTGGCAGCATCCTCGCCCGGCCTGTATCATTTCTCCAAACTCAGGACCGCAAGCGGCCCCAGGAGGTCCAGCAGCATCGGAGCATTGGGGGCATCGGGGCACCGGGCGCGGGGGTGGATGGAAATGAAGTTTGCTCTTTGCTGTCAGCCTGGCAACTTTTCAGAGGTGCGCCGCCCCCACTCCCCACCCATACACGGCCGCCGACCCGACCTTGGGGGGACTGGACGGCACGGGGCCAGGGGTAGGGTCCGGGCGGGGACGCCGCAGCACCGTTGGGGAACCTGAGGCGAGGGAGCGGCGGACCGCGCACCGACCGCCCCGCGCCGGGGACCCTAGGACGCAGCGGGGGACACAGACCCGGCTCGAGGACGCCCGTGGACGCACGGCCGGCCTCACCCGGGGCCGGGCCCAAGGCTGGCGCCACGGCCGCCGCGGACGCGCCCGCGCTCCCGCGTGCCTCGGGCGGCCTGGCTACGACCCTGCACTCACCTGCTCGCAGCCCCCGGCGGCCCGGCCTCACTCGCCCCACGGCCGCCCTCCCGCCGGCCTCGCCCCGCCCCCAGGAGGCGGGGCCCGCGCAGAATCTCGGCCAGCCCTGAACTCTCGCGAGCCCTCCCTCCTAGGCTTCCAGGCGGCCGGGCTGTCTCATGCGGACTAACGTCACACTCATTGCGACCGGAAGTGGCCTTCTGCCGTCAGCGACCGCCCTGCCCATCGCCGCAGTGTCCTCGGACTGTTTCCGGAGTGAAGAAGGTGATTTCTGCTCTCAACCTTCGCGTCGCTGGGTCCGCTTCGCGCTTGACAATTCAGTCTGCTCTGGAGAGGAGCTGAGAGTTTCTCACGTGTCCCACGTGCCATCAGAATGCCACCTTCACAGTCGTACAGGGCGTATCGGCGCTGGAAGGGCTGTGCTTGAAACTAAGGGCGATCCAAGCACCACACATGCTGTTGTCCCAGTGCACCGCAGAGTAAAGTATGTTTTCAAATGTGCCGTGCCTTTTTCAGGTAATATAAACTAGTCTAGAGAATCGGACTAGGTTACTAGATTTAGGCAGAAGCTAACTTCCAGTTTGATTTCCAGATTCTAAATTGAGACGATTCTGAAGAAATTTCCTCAGGAAGTTGTTGAAGATACCTGAACCAAAACAAATTGGAGTTAAGTACCCTTTTGGAAGTTCAGTGAAATCTATGGGCCCCTTTTCAAAATAATATCTTTAAATTAAAAATATAAACTTAAGATGACAGTGGAAATTGACTAAATATACAATTATCAAAACACATGCCTACTATGGTGATACACACCTGTAATCCCAGCACTCGGGAGGCTGAGGGAAGAGGATCACCATAAATTCGAAACCAGCCGGGGCTACATGGTGAGTTCAAGGCTAGCCTAAACTGCACAGCAAGATCCTGTCTTTAAAAAGAACAGCAACCAAAAAAACCACACAGGTCTCAAGTTAACATTCCACTCAAAACCATAGGATAGAATTGGTCATAGGCCCTATAAAAGCATGGTTGAAGAGAGTCTGATGTTTAAACAAGGGAGCCAAGAGGTACAACCTTCTGAAGTACCACCAAAGGAGAAAGCTAGAAGTATTTGTCGATACTATAAATGACCACTACATAATGTGTATATGACAAACTTAACACAAAATATAGCTAGGGATATGGCTCAGCACTCTCTGAGTTCAATTCCCAGTAGCACAAAAAAAGGGAAAAAAGAAAAAAACATAGCTCTTTAGAGATGGTGTTATTATAGACACCTAAATTAGGTAGGACTATTATAGGCAGTCAGACAGGGCTAGGCCCTTGAGGGAGTCAGTGAAGAAGACTAATAAGTTTTCCTACTCTTAATATCTGTTCTTCCTTAGAATTCATTCTTGGACTTCATGGAGCATGAACTTGGTGTATCGTACATCTAGCAGGTTGGGAATTACATTTATTTCCCCTATATCTTTCTTAGAGATCCCATCAAGATAATTGGAAGGAGGTAAGAGTTTGCTTTTGTTTCATGGATTCTGGATTGTAAGTTGTTTAGGTAATCAGAAATTTTCATTCTTGTCTTTTTATGCATTTATTTTAGTTTAAATGATGGTAAATTTATGTTGAGAACATGGAAAGATTATGATTTCTTTGATGGACATTTTTTTTTTGGTACCAGGAATCAAACTCGGGTCCTTGCGCTTGCGCAGCAGGCGCCGAAACCACTGAGCTAAATCCCCGGCCCGCTTTGATGGACGTTTTACTTTTACAGGCAAGGTCTTGTATTCCTGTTTTGTATATGCTGCATTTGGACTTAAGTTCAGCAACTAGTAACCTGAGTATACTAGTGTTTCTTGCTTGACCTGTTTGACTTGTTTGACTATTTTAGCTGTTATGTAAGACTGTCCCTTAGTGGACGTTGAAACTAACTAAAATGTGAATTTATGAAATGCTGTAAAATGGGTATTTTTTGAAACCTAGTTTATACATTTGCGTATTAATAAATCATGAGACACCAATTCCCAGTAAAGGACAATAGGTCAGCAGCCATTCTTAAGAGTTGGGGGACAGGTTTTACTGGGACAGTCTGGCTTGATCACCCCTTTACACTCTAGAGGGAATGTTGAACTTGCTCTGCCTCAGTTTCCTTTCTGATCTGATCTTCTGTTGCTGAGGAGGCAATCTTAGCTCTTGAGATTCCTCACTCTTGCCTTTCCAGGCTGAGAGTGACTACTCATGGCCAAGGTGTCTCAATAACTCACCGTGAGTGTGAGAAGAAAAGACTTCCTTTTTCTGATCTTATTTCTGATCTTTATTTTCCTTTTGGGAGGCATGTTAGATTAAAGAGGGAAGAATCCTAAACTTTCTCAACCTTTCCCTCCTATCCAGCAACTAAGAACTTTTCACATTTGGTGTAAGGGAGAATCCCCTACCCGCTGGCTCTCTCTCCCCTCCTGGGTCTGCTGCTTATCATTGATGTGTTTAGGGGAGGGAAGTATTTTCACTAGTAAGTTGTGGACTTTGAAACATTTGCTGTAAACTTGTAAAATGCTTTGTAATGATTTTGTTTTGTTTTGTTTTTAGACAGCTCAGACTTTATGAAAGCCTAACAAACAGTGGTTACTCTGCCAGCTAGTTAAATGCTTAGAGCAGCTGCCACTCTTAAAGCAGAGGACAGGCTTCCCCACCACCTTCTGGTTAATCCCCCACCAAAGCCAGTGGGAATGCTGGCCAGACAGGCAGCTGGATTCCTTTCTGGAGACGAATCTCTGGTTGTATGGAACCAGTGAAAGCTGAGAGAACAACTGAGAGGTCATGGCCAGGGCGACTCTCTGGTAGATACTCAAAGTCTCCTCCCTGGAAGCTGGGTCCCAACAGCGTGAGCGGGTAACCAGTAGGAAAATCTCCATCTATGTATCATCCCTTCTGTACTCCTCAGTGACGTGAGAGATAACTCTTCAGTGATCCTCTGGTATCCTCTGTCCCGAGTGACCTAAGACAACATTATTGGAGCCTTTCTTAAGCCTCCATTAAGAGTTGAGCCACAAGGTCTGACTTCTCTCTCTGCTAGTAAGAGAGACCCTCTCTTCAGAAAGGTCTTCATACATTTGTAGGGCTAGGGCCGGGGATTTAGCTCAGAGGTTCTGCCACCTGCCCTGCAAGCACAAGGACCCGAGTTCAATCCCCAGTACCAAAAACAAACAAACTACAAGGGCTAGAAACAGGTGAAAACAATAACTCTCTCCATCCCCTGAGAAAGTTTTGGTAGGACAAAGGTCTAAGTTTAGAGAGAACCCCTCAGGCTTTTTCTTTTCATTTCAACTTACTGGGAGTTGTCGTTGAAACTCCTTAGCTCAATAGACCACCTTCTCTAAACAAGAGTGGACCTTCCTCCAAGAGGTCAGGCTGAGACAGCTTTCAAAAACTGTCTTTAACACAAGAGAACAGCTATCAGAGGAGTGATTTTCACTTGTGCCTTATGTATGCTAACTAGGAATAGAAAAAAGGGGGTTTGGTTAGCCTTTCTCTTCTTTCATGTACATGTAAAAAACTGATAAATGTGCCTTTACTAACATGTAAGTTGTGGTTGCTGGGTGATGAGTGTAAGTTTTAACCCATGAGCTTCATAAGTGTGTTGTAGAGACAGAAATTTCAGGATGGATTTTGAGTAAAACTTAGCCTTGTCTTGCTGCAAGTGAAGATTGCCTGGGTAATTAGGTAGATAGCACAAATGTCTTGGAGACTTCTTCACCTTAGGGACCAGGGCAGGATTTTTCCATTACTTAATTCTATCTCTAGAGTTGATCTCTTTTAGAAGGCTGGGAGGTGCTCCAACCATTCCCAGTTTGTCCTTTGATCTTTCTTTTCCTCTCTTTCAAAGAATTGGAAAACAGTGGTTCCACTCTCTTGATTATTGATTTAATTTTGCTAGTAATGCTTCCTTCCTTAAACATCACTGTTACATCTAGCATCAGTTGTACCTTGTGCTTTTGGAAACACATGCTGGAGTTAGGAGTGTAAGTTTCCAGGGAAGGTAGGGGTGTGAGTTGGTAAGGCTGGACAGTCTGACCCAACCTGACTTCTGGTCACTCTCCAGATAGCAGCCACTTGCTCTGGAGCAAGTCAGCTTGGGGGATGCCTTCAGGATATAGAAATCAAGTATAAATTAAAAGGACACCAATTCTTTCTCTTGTATTTCAGATGGGAGACTCAGTGTCAAAATCTCTCACTCCTTTAAAATGTATTGTTAAGCACTAGAGAATGTTCGACCTTCACATATTAAAAAAGAGCCATTTGGGAGCCGGGGATTTAGCTCAGTGGCACTGCACCTGCTTTGCAAGCGAAAGGTCCTGAGTTTGATCCTCAGTACTAAAAAAAAAAAAAAAAAAAGTGCAAAAAAGAGCCATTTAATATTTTTCTACACCCAAACCTGGTCTGCACACCCCTCCTAGAAATTGTTAAAATTACCTTTAACAATCTGTTCCTTTAGAGGGAACAGTTACATGTGCCTATCAAAACAGCAATTTTCTCTATCTGCTGTGGCTATCAAACAACTGTGGCTATCAAAGCAGCATTGAGAAGCCTGTATAGCTAGGTATTCCAATCAGATAAAACTGTCAGCCTAGGGCCCATCTTAAAAACTGTCTTTGCTTTCATCAGTGTACAAGGTTTTTATTCCTTTTGGTTCTTATTATAAGAGATCTCTAATAATTGATCTATAAAAATTTCTGACTAATCTATTTATAGTCACAAACTTAAAAACTGTAAAAGGGTTATTGTAATTCAACTTGCCCAAATACATCTGAGTGCACTCTAGACTATAAACAATTGTTGGGCCAGGGATGTAGTTCAATGGCACCATGCCTGCCTGGCAAGCATAAGGTCCTGAGTTTGATCCCTGGTACAGGAAAAAAATCGTCTTACATCTGTCTGTCTGTTCAATTTGTGACTGGTTGCAACATCCACATCTGTTTTGTTTGAGCTCAACAATTTTTTTATTCTTATTGCCTTATTGGATTTTAAATTATGTCTGCAATTTAAGTTGGCTTAAGTGTCATTAAAGTTAAGGGCATGCTTCCACCCAAGTTGCCAGCCGATCAAAATGATGTCAAGTCTGGTTTTACAATTGCAGTTTCATAGTGTTGTCTGTGTACAATAACTTGGGAGTCTTGTACTGGTCAAGAACAATGTATTAATCATTATGATCTGGTTCTCATAGGTCATCTGAAAACTTTGTTAAAATAACTAAATGGGGACCCCTTTGGCTTAAGGAAACTGCTGAACAAGACTCCCCTTGGTAAATAGAGGAGCAGCTGCCTGGAAACATTTTCTTCCTGTCTTTATTCACTAATGGGATCCCCAATAATTTCCATAGCCTTATGGGAAACACACTCCAATGAACATTGCTAAATATGTAATATGTTTACATTGGTTATCATCAAAGGGTTAAGTTCTCTGTGAGTAAAACTAAGGTTTTCTAATAGATGTACTTGGTACAAAACTAATTTAAGACGTAAAGGTTTCCATATAGCTGTGACACCCATTATTGCTGATTTCATGGTGTACTAAATGTATTCATGCCTTCTGGGTGTACAGGTTTTCAAAGATGTAAAACTTAGGTTGCTTATGGTGTAAGCTTTTTTTCTTTAGACTCATATCTGCTTTTTTCTTGTGCTGTAGCTACTTATCATAAGAGGTACATTTCAAATCAACATGAGACCACCAATCAAATGATAGTTTTAAAAACAGAAAGCTTATGTGATCTGTATGTTATATATGTCTCACTACACTTAGAGATGCTCAGACACTGAGCAGTCCAGACAATGACACATGTTTCTTCAATCCTACTGAAGGAAGGATAACAAATTAGATGAGAGCTTCTTTTGTGTACTAGAGAGAGATGATTGACTAAAAAGGCTATTCTATACAAAGATAGACATTAAAATGTGTTTCAAAAATAATATGCTGAAATACTATGTGTGGTCTTGATCTAAGTTTTCTCTGTGAAACTGTATAATTGTTGTCTGTGAACATTCTGTAGGGACACAACTACTAAAACAACCATCATTGGTAAGAAGTAACAGTCCTAGGGCTGAGGATTAAGCTCAGTGGTTCCAGCGCCTCCCCCTCAAGTGCAAGGTCCTGAGTTTGATCCCCAGTGCCAAAAAAAAAAAAAAGAAAGAAAGACGTAACAGTCCTCTGGCTATATTTTACATTTCAAAGTGCTTGATATTCAGATGAGATTATAATAATTTAGCTCATTGCTCCCTCTGCATTACTGATATAATCTTCTCTTCTGGGTGTTCAACAGCTGAAATTTGGAGACTAAAACTAGAAAGGTAACTATAATATTAAGCTTTCTTTATCTCCTAGGGAAGCATGCAAATCTGGTCATTGTGACTTGAATCTTCAGATGCACCTCCAGCCATAGCTCTGATGTGTTCACATCTTCTGCACTGACACCCTCCAGGACCTAGCCCTATCTGAATGTCTATAATATTTCTACCTATTTCCTTGCACAATCTTATAACAGCTGGGAACTCAACAGTAAATTCCTAAATAGGAAGTCCCCTCTCTTTCTGTCTGGTAGAGATACCTTGAGAACTAAATGGGATAAGGCGTGTTAAATGACAGCCACCCATAGGGACAGAACCTAAGTTCCTCTTTCTTTTCAGCTCTGGGGCTAAGGTTAAGAACAGGCTGTGAAAGGAAGTAAGTCACAAAACCTGTGATTTGTTTAAATATAAAGAATTCTAGAAGGTCATGTCTGACAAAGTTAAGCTTCTGGTTGCACAAAGCTACATGTGCAGTGCTGTCCACCTCAAGCAGTCCAGGCTCTCTCTGGTTGATATCTATGGTTGTTGGTCTCTAAATGTAAGTCTCTGAGGTAGAATCACAATGGAGCAAAATTCTTATGACGGAATTTATGTGCATACTACCTTGATTTTAAAATGTTTATAAATAGACTGGTTTTAATGTTTGAAATGCTTATTAAAAGACTTACTTGGGCCGGGGATTTAGCTCCATGGTGTCACTACCTGCCTCACAAGTGCAAGGTCCTGAGTTTTATCCTTGGTACCAAAAAAAAAAACCAAAACCACAAAAACAAACAAACAAACAAAAAGACCTACTCACATACCTACTCAAAGACCCAGTCCTAGGTCAGTTTTCCTGGGAAAAAGATCTTTACACTCTCAGCTTAATGTGCAGGAGATTTATTGTGCAGGAAGGCAGAGGATGGGAACAAGGAAGGGCGTATTATGCTGCACAGAGGCCTCAGCCTCTCCCACAGGCACCTTCTCAGGATGGCCCACTGAGCTGCCCAGGTGGAGCAGTGCACCCAACTCATCTGCTACTACAGGTGGGCCTCGGCAGCTGGGGTTGTGATGCCCAGGCCCTGGGAGGTGGTTTTAGGTGATGTGGCAGAGCTGTCCTGGGTCCCAGGCCATCATGTTGCTGGTACCATACAACAGCCAGCTCTGCACTCTAGTAGAAATGTTCCATTTTTCCTGTGGATGCAACATGGTGAGTTCACATCTCTGCTGAACCCTGGTTATGTTACAGTTGAATGGGCCAATACTGTTATAATCCAGGTTCTTGTGAATGATGAAGAAAGAATTGTTTCTCATTATTTTTCCTTTCCCTTCTTTCCTTTCCCCTGCCCCTCCCACTACCCCTACCCCTTTGGACCTTTTCTTCCTATTTTGCATTATCGATTATTCATTCTAATCATTGGTACATTTTAGGTATACAATATAATGATATTCATCATTGGAAATTTGGAACTTTACATAATCTCTCTTGGTTCTTATTTTTCACCCTTGCCCAGCCTTCCCTTCAACCCCTCCATTCCTCCCTATTTACAAAGATTTTGTTCCTATTTTTCCATTTTCTCATATTAATCCCATTCCCTTCTTTCCTTTCCCCTAGCCCTCCCACTTCCTTCCCCTTTGCCCCTAAAGAAAGAATTGTTGAACATTTATCCAGTAGTAAGTAGTAAGCAACCATGCTTATGAAAGATAATGGGAAGTTGTGCTCAGAGTCAGTCTGTGTCAACAAAGGTATAACACAACCAAAAAAAGTGCCAGGGCAACAGAAAAGCACTGCACACCAGTCACATGTAGCAGCAGCAACAGGAAAAAGAAAGGCTGATAACTCGGGCTTTCAGAATTCCAAGGCCAGACACCTCTGCTTTAGGTACCTCCCACTGAATCTCCCATGGCCCCAGTGCTTTGGCGCCTGTGTTCTCACTTAGGGCATTGGCAGTCTCTGTCACAAGCGGACATGGCGGCCACTCTACAGGCCCAAAGGGCCTCTGAGTTAAGGCGCCCTGGGGCTCAGAGGAGCCAAAGGGAGTTGGTGCATCTGCCAACTCAAGAGTCAAGCAATCTCCCAAATGCAACCATTTATTGAGCATTTAACATGTAAACAGCAAAACAGAAAAAGCTGGAAGCTGGAGGTGCTGCCAATGGTGCAGGATCTTTCTTCCACCTAGCCAATGCACCCTGATAACATAGGGAGTAGGGGGAGGTGTGGGCACTGGAGCTGACAGCCCTGGAGGCAGCACTGGAATTCACAGGGATCTTGAGACTGAGCACTGGAATTCATGGTGATCCAGAGACCATTACAGCAGTGGAGCCAAACAGGTCATTCTGGACACAGCAGCTCTGTGAAGAGCAATACCTGGGGCAAAGTCCACAAGCATTGAGCCACAAGACTGGGCCAAAGAGCCGCCCAAAGGTCTATGTTTTATGCCGTGGGGAGTTTGGTACAAACAACATGTGCTAATCTTAGAGAGGCAGAAATATGCTTTTCCTTTTTTAGACATTTCTCAAAAAGAGTTCACAAGGTAAGTTTTTGGCACACCGCTCGTATGGTTATCACAGGCTAGTTTAGACTCAGGAAGTTTAGAGCCAGGCAAGCATAGGATGGCTTCTGTCCTGCTCACATCAGATCTCCTAGGCTTCTGTTATTTTATTTTTTACCTCTCTCAGGAATAACCATAACCATTGGGTGCTGTTTAGAGTTAAATGGAGGGAAGGAGGTGACTCACTCAGCTCCTTTGTGAAGGTTGTTACACAGATCCCCTGACCTACACTGTTGAGAATGTAAATGTCATGAAAACAGAAATAGGCTGATTTCAAAGACTGCAGGAATAAAACAACCTAACACATTTAATCCCCAACTAGATCTTTGGCCAAAATGTATTGTTGTTATTTTCTATAAAGGACATTATTATGACAATTGGCAAAACATGATTAAGATCTGTAAATTAGATACTATTAAAATAAGTTTTCTTGTTTCAGTGACTGTTCTATGCTTAAGAGAATATCTTTACTCTTAAGAAATACACACAACAGTATTAAAAATAAAACAGTGAAATGTTCCATTTAAATAGTACTATTTAATTCTATTTCAAATAGTCCCAATTTTGCCCTAGGAAAAGCTTTAGTATCTATAAGTGGAGAACATGACATTTTTAGTAACCAGAACTAATTACACCTCACAGAAAAGTACAGTGGACCCTCAAGTTATAACCGGCCTGACATATGAACAACTTGGGTTAATTAGGTTAATGGAAGATTCGTTTTCCTCTTGTTATCTATAGCGTGAACCCAGGTAAACATCCAGATCTCAGCTGTATTGACTCACAACCAACTTGAGTTACAACCAGCCCTCAGGAACTGATTGAGTTAGTAAGTCAAGAGTCCACTGTTTGTTTACATAGATGCCTACAAGGAGACTAGGTACTATTTTCTAAAAGTGCTCTCAAACCTTTTACAAATGTCATGGGGCTCTGTTTATTTCAAATTCATATAACTACCTCCTTTTTGCCCATGCATTTTGTTCATTAAGTCCAAATGCTCTGTACTACTTACAATCCCCTTTGATATATTTTTTAAAAGAACAATTTGTTGTCAGCTACTTCTATATTATATAAATAATGTTGGTGAATCTCTGTGGGGATTGTGACATCTAAGCAATGACAAAGTAATCTCTATGCTCAGTCAAGAAGGTGCTTTGCATCCTGGTGTGTCCCAGTAATAAAATACAGATATTGTTTAAAAACCTTTGCACTCACTACTTTCATCAGAGGATCCCAAAGCAATTTGTAAGCATTAATTAAGTTATTCAACACTCCTGTGAGCACACTGCATGTTTTTCTCTTCATTTTAAAGATGATTCAACTAAAGAAAAATTAAAAAGATAGGTAAACATATATATTCATATATAATGTATACATAAGTTACTGCATGGGATATAAAATAAATTAGAAAACAATTGGAGCATTAGAATTAGGCCTAATCCCCTTAATTTATTTGTGCCTGTAATACACATAGGTGAGCAATTCATCCCAGTTTCTCCAGGACTAGTTTGGTTTTACCACTGAAAATCCTATGGCTTGGGAATTTCCTCAATCACAGGAAAACTTGAATAATTGGCTAACCTAAGTATAGTTTCTGTTTGTATTTCAGGTAATAGAAATTGACTGTAAAACTCAGAGATCCCGTTGGTTAAACAGTAAGTTGTAGACTGGCCCACTGGTCCTGTGAACTTAAATTATCACTTTGTTCTCTAAGAGAGAGACATGGGTCAACATACATGGGCCTTTGCATTCTCCACCCAGTATTTTAATTTGATTTTTTAAAAATAAGTATGTAAATAGTGCACAATGGTGTACATAGTCGTGTAAATAGTGTACAATGAGTATGTAAATATTGGTACAAAAGAGAATTACATGTTACCTAGCCTCTTATGAGCCACTCTTCAAATTCATAACACTTAAAAAAAAGTCATAACACTGAGAAATAGAGTTATTAAAGTTCTAAGGAACTTAAAGCTTTATAGTAGGGAGGTTTGATAGAAAAAATGTAATATGTCAGAGAAAAATCAATAGTGCACTCAGAGATGTTGTGAAGAATAATGGACCCTAGGAGCCAGGCAGGGTGATGCACGACTGCAGTCCCAGTACTATGCAAGGCTGAGGCAGAAGTGTCACAAGATCAAGTCCAGCCTGGCAACTAAGAAACTTAAAGAGACCTTGTCTCAAAATTTTAAAAGGACTGGGAATAGAGCTCAGTACAAAAGCCTTGGGTTCAATTCCCAGTACTGCCCCAAGAAAAGAAAAGAAAGAAGACGCTGGGGCAAAGAAGATGTATATAATAGCACACTGCAGAGGCCTCTGGCTTGGAGGGGGCATACGAGCTAGACAGTTGCTTCAAAGCTCTGTGGTCATGGCCTGTGAAGTGGATGGAATCCCCAGTTTCTAGAAGCTCTATAAAAAGAACTGTCCTCTCTTCTCACTCTCTTCTACCCACTAGGCGGAATGTCAGGGACCCAGGCCTGTGTCTCCATCATGTCACCCTTAGAGTAGGATTGCTAGAGAAAGTACAGGATGCCCAGATGAATTTCAAGTCAGACACAGGATGAATCATCCTTTAGTACTGGTGAGCCCCCGCTCAGCTGCACCTCACCAGGGGCACAGCTGCACTGGAAAGTGATGTGTTTGTGTGAAATTCACATTTAACTGGGTGTCCTCTTTTTCTCTGTAAGTCTCACAACCTCCTGGTCACAAAGCAGAGGATTCTTTAGCAGAAAGAACAAGGCCGCCAGTGTGGGAGTCTGACTTCCACAGTACCCCCTTTATTTCTAGGATTGGGGGGACCCTCCCACATCACAACTGGCTCCTGAAGGGAGGTGTACAAGTCAGCACATCCCACCCACACAGCAAACCTTCCATTGCCTCATTCTTAAATAGGAGTGGAGAAACACACATTTGATGAAAGTTTACGTTAAAGAGAAATAGAAAAAGTGATACTGGAGAAAGTATAAAGTAGCTAATGCAGGGAAGAGAATATAATTTTTCTTCCTTTTAATTTGTAGTCCTGGGGATTGAACCCAGGGCCTTGTACATGCTAGGCAAGCGCTGTGACACCAAGGTGCATGGCCAGCCCCGGAAGAGAGCTAAGAATGAACATGAAAGGCCAGGCAGTTCAAGCCCAGCCTGG